TATATATATATATATATATATATATATATAATATATATATATATATATATATATATATATATATAATATATATATATATAATATATAATATATAATATAATAATATATATATAATATATATATATATATATATATATATATATATATATATATATATATATATATATATAATATATATATATATATATATATATATATATATATATATATATATATATATATATATATATATATATATAATATATATATATAATAATAATAATAATATATAATATAATATATATATATAGTATATAATATATAATAATAATAATAATATATATATATATATATATATATATATATATATATATATATATATATATATATATATATATATATATATATATATATATATATATATATATATACAGTATAATGTATACTAGTTGTATGTCCCCTGACACAATGAATTATAGGATAATTATGACATAATCACTCTGCCTCTCTTCTCACACTCACATACTCAGTCATGGTCTTCTGGTATCTCTCTCTCTCTCTCTCTATTCTTTGGTGTTATTTCTGTAGTTTCTCCACGCCCTTGTACTTAGTTGATTTGCCGCCTTACATCCCCAATTAAACCATAGGGTCCCCATTGCATTTCGTTTTTTTTTCTTTTCGAGCGGAACAAACTTGTCTTCCTCCTGACACTTCTGGGTGAAGTAGTCCATCATGTCTTGGGCCGTCTTGCCTCTGAGTTCTGTTGGAATTTCTATTAGGAATTTTCTTATCTCCTTGTAATTTCCCTTTCGGTATGAAAGCCTTTTGTTTTCTGGTCTTCAGTAAGTTATTCCAACTTCCACCAGATATACAAATATAGATATAAGTGATCTATGATATACAAATAGATCACATATTCCCAAGACAGGATTCCAAATTGATTCCCCTTGTGTCTGACTCATTCACAGTGAATACCAGGTCAAGTCTAGCTAGTTCATCATCATTATCTCTCATTCTTGTGTGTCCCTGACATGATGGCTTAAAACGTTTCTTGTTGATACGTCCAATAGCTTAGCTCTCCATGTTTATATGCTCCATACGATTTATTGTTCTCCCAATCTCTCTTTCCATAGTTGAAGTCTCTCAGGATTAAATGTTGGGATTAATTCCGACAGGCAACAGAGGCTGACTTTTCTATTTCAGTAGTAACTGCCATGTTGTTCTGTCTTAGTCTTCTGCCACCTAATGTTGGGTTATATATTACAGCTGCTACTATCTTTGGTCCTCACATTGTCATGGTGGCTGTTAGGTAGTCTCTCAATCCCTCACAACCTGGAATATACATCTCGAAGCTCTAGTTCTTTCTTATAAGCAGGGCCACGCCTCCTCCTCCCTTTCCTTCCCTCTCTTTCCTATTACAGCGTAGTCCTGTGGAAATTTGCTATTAGAGCTGACAGTTTCGTTTCAGTGAGTACTGTTACATCTGGGTTGGCCTCTTGTGTTTTTTCCTCAAGTTCACTTGCTATATTTGTAATGCCATCTATGTTTTAGTATATAACTTTGAAGCTAATTTTCTTCTGTCCAGTCTAACTTTTGGCATCAATTCCACTGGTGTAGGCGGCTGTTCTATGGGAGGGCAGGGAAGGCCTGGGATGGGGTGGTAGGGAGGACCTGGCACAAGGGGTAGGGAAGGCATGGGATGGGGAGAACAATGGGCAGGTGTCAGATGGGGGACAGAGAGGAAATTGGATGGAGAGGGACTCCATAGGGATGGGAGGTGAGGGTGGTGGTTGGGGGAGAAGATTGTTGGGGGATGGGATGGTGGGTGGTCTTGTTTTCTGTCCCATTTCTCTCTGGTGTTGCGATCCTTCTAGTGGAGGATTCCCTACTCTAAAGATTCCCCACTAAAGTTACTGGAGTTACTGAGTTGAAGCCTGTAGCTTCCCCATTCCCTTCCCTCTCTCTCCTTGTGTCTTTTTCTTACTTCTGCTGCCTTGCCTCTCTCTTCCCTCGTCATGTCGCTCTGCAGGAAAACATTTTTGTATTCTGTGATGTGCAGATGTTCTTCTTGGATAAGGCTATCTTTTTTTGTCGTTTCATTTGTGAATACTCTCAGTATTCACATTCTCAGTATTCTCAGTATTATCAGTCGCTTCATTTGCGAATACTCTCTTTATCAGTCATTTCATTTGTGAATACTCTCTTTATCAGTCACTTCATTTGTGAATACTCTCTTTATCAGTCGCTTCATTTGTGAATACTCTCTTTATCAGTCGCTTTATTTGTGAATACTCTCTTTATCAGTCGCTTCGTTTTTTAATAGTCTCTTTATCAGTCGCTTCATTTGTGAATACTCTCTTTATCAGTCGCTTCATTTGTGAATACTCTCTTTATCAGTCGCTTCGTTTTTTAATACTCTCTTTATCAGTCGCTTCAATTGTGAATACTCTCTTTATCAGTCGCTTCATTTGTGAATACTCTCTTTATCAGTCGCTTCGTTTTTTAATACTCTCTTTATCTGTCGCTTCATTTGTGAATACTCTGTTTATCAGTCAATTCCTTTCCTACTTATATACACCTAGCCTGAAAACTTATATGCTGCTATCAGCCCCACTCCACTTGTGAACCTTTCAAGATCTTTGTCATGGTTGTTTGATCCAACCTTCTCCATTTCTTTTGTATGGAATCTTCCTGTTCCTGAATTCCTATCAGTATTACTGCTCTATGTATCTTATTTGATGTGGGGTAATATATCAATTGTATTTGTGATGATACATTGTATAACTCGCTTTATCAGGCTTTGTACAGATATCACGAATACTTATTTATTTGTGTTTTTCATACAAAAAACAAATGAACTTGAAGATTCACTCAACCCCTGATTGTTGTTGGCACGCCTTCACTCAGGCACCCACCCAGCCCCCCATGGCCGCCCGCCCACCTGCCAGCCTGCCCACCCACCTACCTCCCAGCTTGGCCGCCCGCCCACCTGCCTACGAGGCTGCCCATCCACCCTCCTGCCCGCCTGCCTGCCCACCCGCCTACCGACCTTCCCGCCCGCCCACCTGCCTACGAGGCTGCTCACCCACCCGCCTGTCATCAAGATGCAGCTACAGTATACCCTGCGAAGGTACAAGCGAGGGCGGTTGCTGAGGGCGGTGTGGGTGGCGAGTGTGGGCGTCGTGGGCGTCACATACATTCTGAGTTCGGCTCTCTACACCTCGCAGCTTCTTCAGCTCTTGTGCGAGTCAGGTGGGCCAAATATCTGCATAAACAACCCAACAACTACCCAGTCTAAGTAACACATCTTGACATATCAATGTACCAAATCACTGTCATTCTAACTTAGCCCAGCTAACCTGTCCCTGCCTTTTGTTGAACAAAATATTGCACCTCTTTTAAATATATGAAATTGAACGAATATCTTAAAGGTTGGATTTGATCTCTTTTTTTTTTTTAGATTCAATCTTCACTATAGAAAGCTGAGAGATGTATTTGTTTATTTATGTATTAATATGTTTAGTGGGTGTCCTCTCATGTCTTCTGGCTTCCCTCTTGTATCTGCCTCTCTCCTTGCCTTATTCCTTTCCTCCCTGCCTCTCTTCCTGCCTGACTCCCTCCTGCCTCACTTCTTCCCTCCGTGCTTCTCTCCCTGCCTCACTCCCTCCCTTGCCTGCCTCCCTGCCTCACTCTCCCTCCCTCCCAGCAGAGTGCACAAGGCAGGCGCTGGAGGGGTGTTGGAGCCCAGAGAGCAGGGTCCTGGTCAGCCACATCCGTCGAGCCGTCCTGGACAAGATGCAGACTCAGGTGGCCGAGCCCATCACCCGCCAGGAGCTGGATGACCCGCCCTGGCTGCACCTCGGGGGATGGATGTTTGCTGAGGCCGCCATCCGCCAGGTCTTCACCCACAAGGTGAGACAAGGACGCACGCACGCACTCACACGGATGGGACACGAACAAGGGGACACAGGTGGAGACTGAGTACCCAGATGAGCCACACGAACGTTAGAAAGAACTTTTACAGTGTCAGAGTAGTTAACGGATGGAATGCATTAGGAAGTGATGTGGTGGAGGCTGACTCCATACACAGTTTCAAGTGTAGATATGATAGAGCCCAGTAGGCTCAGGAACCTGTACACCTGTTGATTGACAGTTGAGAGGCGGGCCGAAAGAGCAGAGCTCAACCCCCGCAAACACAACTAGGTGAATACACACACATAACGGGCGCCGGAGGCTGTGTGGACAGCACGCTGGACACGTAATCCTCTGGCCCAGGTTCGTTTCCCAGCACCGGCGAGAAACAAAAATGAGGAGAGTTTCCTTCACCCTGATGCTCCTGATACCTAAGAGTAAATAGATACCTGGTAGTTAGACAGCTGCTACGGGCTGCTTCCAGGGTGGGTGTGTGTGGGGGGGGGGGATGAGTCAGTAGTTAGTAACAGTTGTTTGATTGACGGTTGAGAAGCGGGCCAAAAGAGCAGAGCTCAACCCCCGCAAGCACAACTAGGTGAATACAACTAAGTGAACACACACACACACACACACACACACACACACACACACACACACACACACAGGAGCAGGAGAACTGTGCCTCCCACTCTCCATAGTGTATAACAAATCACTGGCAACAGGGGAACTGCCAGATATTTGGAAAGCAGCTAACGTAGTCCCGATATACAAGAAAGGGGATAGACAGGAGGCACTGAACTACAGGCCTGTGTCCCTAACCTGCATACCATGCAAGCTGATGGAGAAGATTGTGCGAAAAAACTAGTGGAGCATCTGGAGCGAAGGAACTTTGTAACACAGCATCAACATGGTTTCAGGGATGGCAGGTCCTGCCTCACAGGGTTACTTGAATTCTACGACCAGGCAACAAAAATAAGGCAAGAAAGAGAAGGGTGGGCAGACTGCATATTTTTGGATTGTCAGAAAGCCTTTGATACAGTGCCACACAAGAGGCTAGTGAAAAAGTTGGAGACGCAGGCTGGAGTGAAAGGGAAGGTACTCCGGTGGATAGAGGAGTACCTAAGCAACAGGAGACAACGAGTCTGTGTGAGGGGTGAGGTCTCAGATTGGCGAGAGGTTACAAGTGGAGTTCCGCAGGGGTCAATCTTTGGACCTATACTGTTTCTGGTATATGTAAATGATCTCCCAGAGGGTATAGATTCGTTCCTCTCAATATTTGCCGACGATGCAAAAATTATGAGGAGGATTGAAACAGAGGATGATAGTAAGAGGCTACAAGATGACCTAGATAGACTGAGTGAATGGTCCAACAAATGGCTGTTGAAGTTCAACCCGAGTAAATGCAAAGTAATGAAACTAGGCAGTGGAAACAGGAGGCCAGACACGGAATGCTATAAGAATGGAAAGAGGTAACGAGTGGAGTACCTCAAGGGTTGGTACTTAGGAACCCATCCTGTTCCTAACATATGTAAATGATCTGAGAAAGTAAGCTCATTCTTACCCATGTCTGCTGACGATGCTAAGCTTATGAGGCGAATAAGAACCGAGGAGGACTGCAGTACATAACAAAATGAACTAGACAATCTCCAGAGATAGTCTGAGAAATGGCTACTAGACTTTAACCCTGACAAATGTAAGGGCTGGAGTTTAGGCAAATAGCTCTCAAATACAATACAGGATGGAAGGGAAGGCAACTTTCAATTTCTGAAAAAGATAAAATTTAGGAGTGGACGTTACTCGAGACTTAACACCAGAGGCACACAACAGCAGAATAACGAGGGCAACTTGTGTCATACTGGCAAACGTCTCGTTATTTTCCAGGAATTTGGACAAAAATCCCTTCCAAGCGTTGTATACATCGTTTGTGAGACCTATTATTGAGTATGCTGCCCCCAGTATGAAACCCCCTACGTAAAGTAGCACATAGGAAAATTAGAAAAGGTCCAAAAATATGCAACAAGACTTGTCAAGCTAAGGGGACTGAACTATGAAGAAAGACTGAAAGAACTAGACCTCACTACACTGGGAGAAATAAGGACTATGGCAAATATGATAACAACGTACAAGATGCTAAAGGAAACTGACAAATTAGAAATAGAAGCAATGTTCAAATTGATAAATAGTAGAGCGACAGGACATAGTTGGAAGCCGTTAACACAGATGAGTAATAGGGAAGTCAGAAAAAAAATCAGTCTCAAAGCCGTAAACAAGTGGAACGGACTAGATGAAGACGTTGTCCAGGCCAATTCAATACACAACTTTATATGTGAATATGATAAGAAAAACTAGTGAAACATACATGCATGCATGCATACATACATACATACATACATACATACATACATACATACATACATACATACATACATACATACATACATACATACATACATACATACATACATACATACATACATACATACGTACATACATACATACATACATACATACATACATACATACATACATACATACATACATACGTACATACGTACATACATACATACATACATACATACATACATACATACATACATACATACATACATACATACATACATACATACATACATACATACATACATACATACATACATACATACATACATACATACATACATACATACATACATACATACATACATACATACATACATACATACATACATACATACATACATACATACATACATACATACATACATACATACATACATACATACATACATACATACATACATACATACATACATACATACATACATACATACATACATACATACATACATACATACATACATACATACATACATACATACATACATACATACATACATACATACATACATACATACATACATACATACATACATACATACATACATACATACATACATATATACATACATACATACATACATATATACATACATACATACATACATACATACATACATACATACATACATACATACATACATACATACATACATACATACATACATATACATACATACATACATACATACATACATACATACATACATACATACATACATACATACATACATACATACATACATACATACATACATACATACATACATACATACATACAAGTAACAATCAATCACCAGTGTATGCACTTTCACAACCCTGTGTACCTTTGTGTGTATAAATAAGTAAAATAAACACAATTATAAATATAAAATAATGAAACATTTCGTCAGGTGTCGTACTCGACACTCTTCGTGATTGACTTTTATCAAGCAGTTTCCCTCAATACACACTCCCCGCTCTTCACCCCCTCAACACCCCCGTCCACATATCTCCCCACAGTGGAGGGGGGTGTTCGTGGAGGTGGGGGCGGGATCAGGGGTGTTCAAGTCCCACACAGCGTGGTTGGAGACGGACCGTGGTTGGTCTGGGCTGCTGGTGGAGCCTCGCCCAGAAGCCTATGCCCGCCTCAGGCTACGCAGGAAGGCGCTCGCTGCCCGGGCTTGTGTCTCCGACCTGCCCCATACTAAGAAGGTCAGCTCTTGGGTCTTCCTTAAGAGTGAAAGGGATTCTGTAAGATTACATAGGATTCTATAAGGTTATATAGCATTCTGTGATATTATATAGGATTTTATAACACAGGATTCTATAAGATTATATTGTATTTTATAATTTACAATTCTACACTGTTACAGAACTCTATAAGATTATATAGGATTTTATCATTTTGAATTCTCTAAGATTACAAAGGATTCTATATGATTATATAGGATTCTATAAGATTATACATGATTTTATAAGATTATGTAGGATTCTTTAAGACTTCACAATATCCAACAAAAAATTGTGTATCTCCATAAGATTACATAAGATTAAATCTATATCTATAAAAGCAAATGTCTATTTTGTGCATTGTTCGTGATTGTGATTGGAAGGAAGATGCTTGGAGCTAGCTAGTAGGTCCTTGTACGACGCAGAGCGACCCTTTGGCTTTGTTGTGATAGTTGCTCTTCGTCGTCATAGATCTGAACATGGTGCCAGCCCTCCCTGTTTCAGTCATAATTCTGCTCCAGTCTGTCGGTCAACCTGTTGACTGGCCCCTCTCGCCTAAGGATTCTAGACAATGTATTTATCAAGACAGTGTTTGGTCTGGATAGACATCAGAGGAGTCTAACCAGACCTAACTTAACTAGACCCAACCTAACACTTATGTTATCCTAGATGGTATGAAGGAGGGAAGTTTATTGATACCATCTATCCATCTACCCACGACATTCTACTATCCTTCCTAAATAAACTCCTAGCCTGTATTCCGGCGTGTCATAGCTCACCAAGACCCTGCACGCCATCCCCCCGCACCCTTGCTACCACTCCACCACCACACAGTTAATTGAAAGTTGAGAGGCGGGACCAAAGAACCAAAGCTTAACTCCAACAAGCACAACCACTTGAGTACACAGCCTTGCTCTATATGCATCCTCCCCCCCCCCCCCCCGATACATCCCTACAATCATCTCTTTCTTCCCTACATACCCCCCCCCCCTCACCCTTCAGCCACCACTTACCCTCCCTACATCCCCTGCCCTATTCCACCCCCCCCCCCACCCCACCCTTTTCCATGTTCCTCTAGTTCCAATTTTTTTTGGCGCTAACCTATCCTATTTGTACCCACGGCTTTTGTATTATTATTCCATTATTCTATTAGGGATTATAACATTCGCACCCATGGCATCAGAAGAACAGGAACAGGAGAAGCAGGACAGACGAGGAGGCAGTCACAGAAAGATATAGGCTTCAAGAAAGAACTAGGCTTCAAGAAAGAACTAGGCTTCAAGAAAGAACTAGGCTTCAAGAAAGAACTAGACTTCAAGAAAGAACTAGGCTTCAAGAAAAAACTAGGCTTCAAGAAAGAACTAGGCTTCAAGAAAGAACTAGGCTTCAAGAAAGAACTAGACTTCAAGAAAGAACTAGGCTTCAAGAAAGAACTAGACTTCAAGAAAGAACTAGGCTTCAAGAAAGAACTAGACTTCAAGAAAGAACTAGGCTTCAAGAAAGAACTAGGCTTCAAGAAAGAACTAGGCTTCAAGAAAGAACTAGGCTTCAAGAAAGAACTAGGCTTCAAGAAAGAACTAGACTTCAAGAAAGAACTAGGCTTCAAGAAAGAACTAGGCTTCAAGAAAGAACTAGGCTTCAAGAAAGAACTAGGCTTCAAGAAAAAACTAGGCTTCAAGAAAGAACTAGGCTTCAAGAAAGAACTAGGCTTCAAGAAAGAACTAGACTTCAAGAAAGAACTAGGCTTCAAGAAAGAACTAGGCTTCAAGAAAGAACTAGGCTTCAAGAAAGAACTAGGCTTCAAGAAAAAACTAGGCTTCAAGAAAGAACTAGGCTTCAAGAAAGAACTAGGCTTCAAGAAAGAACTAGGCTTCAAGAAAGAACTAGGCTTCAAGAAAGAACTAGGCTTCAAGAAAGAACTAGGCTTCAAGAAAGATATAGGCTTTACCCTATGCAGCGGAGCATTTCCAGGATTATATGATGTTGGATCACTCATTAATTAGGATCATTAATCAGGAATCACTCGCTAAATAATTAGGAATTTATCATCTTGAGTCCCGAATCTCCAGGTCTTGCAATATTAGCCTAACCCAGTTCTCAACTCTTATCAAACTCACCTGCAATGCACAAGTTACTAATGGAGACGTGTAGACAAACACAGCACAACAACACCTTCACAGGCATACACATACACACACACACACTATGCATTTTTTGTTATACTCGTAATTTTAATCCATACAAGACAACATACTTGTAGATGCGATATAACAGCATCATGTTACTGTATTCATTTCACATTATAGAAGGCGCATATCTCTTACTCAAAAATGCACACTTGCACTAACTTCACACTTTCGCAAAAATTGCATAATTACACAAAAATTTACATTCGCACAAATATACATACTTTCACATACAATCCCATTCACAAACACAATAACTCCTATTCACATACACAAACCAACACACACACATACATAAACCAGCATACATAACGCGCTAAAAAAAAGCGATACATTCAAGTGTACAGAGCAACATTTTATTTTGCAAGAGTCGACCAATGAGTTAACTTCTCGCTGTTGTCCCTGCCATGGTTCTCCTGACGGGTGTGGCGTGACAGGACGTGCTGTGGACACCTGGCCACACCGAGGACCTCCCCGACCTCTACAGGGACATGGCCCTCTCTAAGTCCACCCTAGAAGCCTACGTGGCCCCGGAGGTCAGTCACCTTCCTGCCCCTAAGATTACGGTTCTAAACCATTACTGAGTGAGGTCCAGGATTTGAGAATGGTCCAGGACGGACCGAAACGTCATCGTTCCCTTCACTTTCTAGTGTGTGGTCTGGTCAACATTATTGAGGGAATTCTATAAGCTTAGAGCTGTTGTGCAATGTTCAGCTTATTTTCAAGTCTGTTTTGTAAAAACGCTGTATGTATTTTCAGTCATATATATATATATATATATATATATATATATATATATATATATATATATATATATATATATATATATGTCGTACCTAGTAGCCAGAACGCACTTCTCAGCCTACTATTCAAGGCCCGATTTGCCTAATAAGCCAAGTTTTCATGAATTAATGTTTTTTCGACTACCTAACCTACCTAACCTAACCTAACCTAACTTTTTCGGCTACCTAACCTAACCTTACCTATAAAGATAGGTTAGGTTAGGTTAGGTAGGGTTGGTTAGGTTCGGTCATATATCTACGTTAATTTTAACTCCAATAAAAAAAATTGACCTCATACATAATGAAATGGGTAGCTTTATCATTTCATAAGAAAAAAATTATAGAAAATATATTAATTCATGAAAACTTGGCTTATATATATATATATATATATATATATATATATATATATATATATATATATATAGTATATTTTGGTAGCAGTCTTTCTTGTAGACATATATTATTAAATATGACCGAAAAAGTAAGATTAATAATTCTAACACGAATTTTCTCAATATTTCTTATGTTTCTTTTCACTGTCGATGGTAATTGAAAAATCAATTCTCCAAAATTCATTTTTATTTCTAGTCTGACGCGACACTTGAACGCGTTTCGTAATAACTTATTACATTTTCAAAGACTTTAGTTTACACACACACAACTATAACCTGCAAACACTAAACAGAGTTCTTCTATGCTATAATTTTAAACAGCTTTCATCTTATATACCTGCATTTGGGTGAGGTGATATGTTACAACAGTTTTGGATGAGGTGAACAAAACTTTCAACACAAGACAGAACACGAAACAATGGGTATAATATTGGGTAAATTAAAGGGAAGAATGGAAGTAACTGCAAAGGGCCTATTGGCCCATATTTCTTGATGCTTCTATATTGGTGCGGAGTCTTGAAGTGGGTAGAATATAGTTGTGCATTAATTGGCTGTTGATTGCTGGTGTTGACTTCTTGATGTGTAGTGCCTCGCAGATGTCAAGCCGCCTGCTATCGCTGTATCTATCGATGATTTCTGTGTTGTTTGTTAAGATTTCTCTGGTGATGGTCTGGTTGTGGGAAGAGATTATATGTTCCTTAATGGAGCCCTGTTGCTTATGCATCGTTAATCGCCTGGAAAGAGATGTTGTTGTCTTGCCTATATACTGAGTTCTTTGAGGCTTACAGTCCCCAAGTGGGCATTTGAAGGCATAGACGACGTTGGTCTCTTTTAAAGCGTTCTGCTTTGTGTCTGGAGAGTTTCTCATGAGTAGGTTGGCCGTTTTTTTGGTTTTATAGTAAATCGTCAATTGTATCTTCTGATTTTTGTCTGTAGGGATAACGTTCCTATCAACAATATCTTTCAGGACCCTTTCCTCCGTTTTATGAGCTGTGGAAAAGAAGTTCCTGTAAAATAGTCTAATAGGGGGTAAAGGTGTTGTGTTAGTTGTCTCTTCAGAGGTTGCATGGCGTTTCACCTTCCTTCTTATGATGTCTTCAACGAAACCATTGGAGAAGCCGTTGTTGACTAGGACCTGCCTTACCCTACAGAGTTCTTCATCGACTTGCTTCCATCCTGAGCTGTGGCTGAGAGCACGGTCGACATAAGCGTTAACAACACTCCTCTTGTACCTGTCTGGGCAGTCACTGTTGGCATTGAGGCACATTCCTATGTTTGTTTCCTTAGTGTAGACTGCAGTGTGGAAACCTCCGCTCCTTTCCATGACTGTTACATCTAGAAAGGGCAGCTTCCCATCCTTCTCCATCTCGTAAGTGAAACGCAACACAGAATTCCGCTCAAATGCCTCCTTCAGCTCCTGCAGATGTCTGACATCAGGTACCTGTGTAAAAATGTCGTCAACATACCTGCAGTATATGGCCGGTTTCAAGTTCATGTCGACTAAGACCTTCTGTTCGATGGTACCCATGTAGAAGTTCGCAAACAGGACACCTAGGGGAGAACCCATGGCGATCCCATCTACTTGCTTATACATGTGCCCATCCAGGCTCAAGAAGGGTGCCTCTTTAGTACAAGCTTGGAGTAGTTTCCTTAGAATGTTTTCTGGTATGTCAAGAGGAGTACAGGCCGGATCACGATACACTCTGTCCGCTATCATCCCGATTGTTTCATCTGCAGGTACATTGGTAAACAGTGATTCTACGTCCAACGAGGCTCTTATCCCTGCTGTGGCCTGTGTTCCCCGCAGTAAGTCAACAAATTCCTTTGGAGACTTCAGGCTGAAGGCGCAAGGGACAAAAGGGGTTAGCAAGCCATTGAGTCGTTTTGCCAGTCTGTTCGTAGGTGTGGGTATCTGGCTGATGATTGGCCGAAGTGGGTTTCCAGGCTTGTGTGTCTTGACATTTCCATACGCATACCCAGGTTTGTATTCCCCAATAATCTTTGGCAGGTGGAGTCTGGATTTCTTGGCGTTCACAGTTTCGATCAATCTGTGCTTCAATTCGGCTGTAGTTCCTTCGTTACCCTTTGGAGAAACAGCAATATCCCGTACTCGTATCGAGCAACACCTCGACATCCTTCGACATCTCAGAGAAACTACAAAAACAATGAAGGATCTAACCACCAATTCCACGACCACCTTCCTGACAATCGCAGACCAAGTCTTAAATCTGGGTATAAACAGAAGACCAAGTGAGATGGCCCGGAAAGTGGAGTTCGAGATTCTGTTGGACACATATTCTACAGAAGCACCATACAAGCAGAACTGTCCCTACAGAAACACCACACTGAGCTCAAAGCGGCAGCTAAGAGCCTTCGTGAGAACAAGGAGATAGTCGTCAGGAGAAGTGACAAGTCGCCAATATACGTCATTCTTAAAAAAGACGAATATCTGGCGAAAATGAACCTCATACTCTCTGACCAAACTAAATTCCAAAGGGTAACAAAGGACACTACAGCCGAATTGAAAGCAAAGGTTAACAGATTGATCGAAACTGTGAACGCCAAGAAATCCAGACTCCACCTGCCAAAGATTATTGGGAATACAAACCTGGGTATGCGTATGGAAATGTCAAGACACACAAGCCTGGAAACCCACTTCGGCCAATCATTAGCCAGATACCCACACCCACGTACAGACTGGCGAAGCGACTCAACGGCTTGCTGACTCCTTATGTCCCTTGCACCTTCAGCCTGAAGTCTCCAAAGGAATTTGTTGACTTACTGCGGGGAACACGGGCCACAGCAGGGATAAGAGCCTCGTTGGACGTAGAATCACTGTTTACCAACGTACCTGTGGATGAAACAATCGGGATGATAGCGGACAGAGTGTATCGTGATCCGGCCTGTACTCCTCTTGACATACCAGAAAACATTCTAAGGAAACTACTCCAAGCTTGTACTAAAGAGGCACCCTTCTTGAGCCCGGATGGGCACATGTATAAGCAAGTAGATGGGATCGCCATGGGTTCTCCCCTAGGTGTCCTGTTTGCGAACTTCTACATGGGTACCATCGAACATAAGGTCTTAGTCGACATGAACTTGAAACCGGCCATATACTGCAGGTATGTTGACGACATTTTTACACAGGTACCTGATGTCAGACATCTGCAGGAGCTGAAGGAGGCATTTGAGCGGAATTCTGTGTTGCGTTTCACTTACGAGATGGAGAAGGATGGGAAGCTGCCCTTTCTAGATGTAACAGTCATGGAAAGGAGCGGAGGTTTCCACACTGCAGTCTACACTAAGGAAACAAACATAGGAATGTGCCTCAATGCCAACAGTGACTGCCCAGACAGGTACAAGAGGAGTGTTGTTAACGCTTATGTCGACCGTGCTCTCAGCCACAGCTCAGGATGGAAGCAAGTCGATGAAGAACTCTGTAGGGTAAGGCAGGTCCTAGTCAACAACGGCTTCTCCAATGGTTTCGTTGAAGACATCATAAGAAGGAAGGTGAAACGCCATGCAACCTCTGAAGAGACAACTAACACAACACCTTTACCCCCTATTAGACTATTTTACAGGAACTTCTTTTCCACAGCTCATAAAACGGAGGAAAGGGTCCTGAAAGATATTGTTGATAGGAACGTTATCCCTACAGACAAAAATCAGAAGATACAATTGACGATTTACTATAAAACCAAAAAAACGGCCAACCTACTCATGAGAAACTCTCCAGACACAAAGCAGAACGCTTTAAAAGAGACCAACGTCGTCTATGCCTTCAAATGCCCACTTGGGGACTGTAAGCCTCAAAGAACTCAGTATATAGGCAAGACAACAACATCTCTTTCCAGGCGATTAACGATGCATAAGCAACAGGGCTCCATTAAGGAACATATAATCTCTTCCCACAACCAGACCATCACCAGAGAAATCTTAACAAACAACACAGAAATCATCGATAGATACAGCGATAGCAGGCGGCTTGACATCTGCGAGGCACTACACATCAAGAAGTCAACACCAGCAATCAACAGCCAATTAATGCACAACTATATTCTACCCACTTCAAGACTCCGCACCAATATAGAAGCATCAAGAAATATGGGCCAATAGGCCCTTTGCAGTTACTTCCATTCTTCCCTTTAATTTACCCAATATATACCCATTGTTTCGTGTTCTGTCTTGTGTTGAAAGTTTTGTTCACCTCATCCAAAACTGTTGTAACATATCACCTCACCCAAATGCAGGTATATAAGATGAAAGCTGTTTAAAATTATAGCATAGAAGAACTCTGTTCAGTGTTTGCAGGTTATAGTTGTGTGTGTGTAAACTAAAGTCTTTGAAAATGTAATAAGTTATTACGAAACGCGTTCAAGCGTCGCGTCAGACTAGAAATAAAAATGAATTTTGGAGAATTGATTTTTCAATTACCATCGACAGTGAAAAGAAACATAAGAAATATTGAGAAAATTCGTGTTAGAATTATTAATCTTACTTTTTCGGTCATATTTATATATATATATATATATATATATATATATATATATATATATATATATATATATATATATATATATATATATATATATTTGCTTTGGTCTTGGGATTAAGGTCCACCGATTTCTGGAAGGTTATTAAGGCTGCCACAACAGCTTTCTGACCAACAAGCAAGTATACTTTAGTCTTCAGCATAGTCCAAAAGTATTGTAAACTTATTGTATATCCTGAGAAGTGTTGTATACCTCTCGGTGTATATTTGGATATATTTTGAGCATGAAGCTGGAACAGTCTGTGAGCCACAGTATTTTTTTTTTTGAGGTGGGGGGGGGGGGGGGGGATTATCATAGCTTTTGGAATATGTACGTGTTGAGGGGACATGTTCCAGTCATGTAAGATTGTGTGATCACTCATTATACTCGTGCATATATATATATATATATATATATATATATATATATATATATATATATATATATATATATATATATATATATATATATGGGGGGAACCTGCTGCATGGGTAACAGCTTCTCCCCCGTATCAAGCTACCCATGCTTTGCGCCCTGGAGATGCCACTCCAGACCGACAACCAGAGAGCAACTCCATAGTAGCTTACTACTCCCATATATATATTACAGTGTCAGACCATGAAGGAAGGATTGAGACAGGAATTTCTCCTTAATTTTTTTCGTATTTAATAATACATCTTCTGAAAGAGGGATTTTTCAGGTCTGTGGGTGTGGATAGATAGGCAGGAAAGAGGTGAAGTACAACGTCTTTAATGTGATCAAGGGATATTAATAAGGTATTGGTGAGATAAATGTGTATTAATGATCCTACTCAAATTGCCCTTTAACTGATTAATAAAAAATGGATCTAAATTATACAAACCACCGCTAATGTTCAAATTACATGTTTCTCTAATCTGTTTTAAAGCAGATTCAATCATGTTCCTATTAAAATGCTTTTACAATTCGTTATTGAAGAAGCCATCTCCCAGTCAATCTGGTGAGAACTTTCTGACAAAGCATTAGACAATTGGCCATGTCTTACAGAGTATTTATGTTGCAAAATTCAAAATGTCAAATCTTTAAATGTTTGCTCAACATAGAACCTATTACAGTCTTTACAAGGTATTTTGTAAATTACATAATTATCACTACGAGAACTGTTTCTAACTAATAGTTTTCCAACAGTATTTTCGTGATTAAACAATACATATATATATCAAAAAGTTTCAAAGCCTTGACAATGTTTAATTATAATTTTCGTTTAATTACAAAAATACTGTGTCATTTACAAAATACCTTGTATTTTGTATTTGTATTACTACAAATTTTGTATTAAAATGTATTATTACTTTATTGTATTATACATTATAAAATGTATGATTACTTTTTGTATTTGTATATATTTGTAAAAATACTTTGTATTTTGTATTTGTATTACTACAAATTTTGTATTAATATATATTATTACTGTATTGTATACAGTAATAATACATTATAAAATGTATTATTACTGTATTATATTACACGTTATAAAATGTATTATTACGTTTTGTATTTGTATATATTTGTAAAAATACTTTGCATTTTGTGTGTGTGGCGCAGGACAAGACGGGGACGGCGGGGCGGGCGGTGCAGTGCTTCACCCTGGACGCCCTGGCGGCGGCGGCTCTTGGCCTTCATCGAACCATCGACCTGGTGGTCCTGGACACCGCCGGCGGGGAGTACATGGTCCTCAACACCCTCCAGCACCTCAACATCTTGGTGAGGAGCCTCCAGCTGCGCTGTCTCAGTATGGCGCTCAGTTCAAAATGCAACTGTTTGGGCTAATTGGAGCAGTTTGAGCCCACGCTCAAAACTGAAAAGCGCTCAAACGCTCGATAGAGCCCTAGGCTCTATCGATGCCGATGCATAGAGAACCTCATTATTGCATTGCAATTATTTTTACTAATAACATTTTTAACGGATTGGCAATTCTTTAGGTATCCGTTTAATAACAAAATATTCGGTTCTAATTAAAATTAATTTATAATTAAGTTTATGTAATTTTCAGAGTTTGTGTAATTTTTGGGGTTTATGTAATTTTCTGGGTGTATGTAATTAGATTCTGTAATTCATGTAATAGTTTGATAAAGTAAACGAATGACTTTAAAGTTTATCAACACTATTTGGTTGTCAGTGACCACACCAACATTATACCTACTCTAGCACTCTACCATATCTCCATCTGTGTTATTCCCAGAAGGTCACACAAGGTGATTGATGATTAATGAAGATTTAGCCACCCAAGAGGTGGCACGGGCATGAATAGCCCGTAATCACACAAGTAGGAGGGGGACTAGAATTATCTAGGGGAAACTGCTGAGTGTGTGGACGGAAGACATCTCCTTTGCAGGGTGCAGTCGCACCTCCACAGATCTCCCGTATCATCTATTGATACTGGTAATGGCTCAAATGGGCCACCACTTACGGGCTATTCATGCCCGTGCCACCTTTTGGGTGGCTTAATCTTCATCAATCAATCAATGCTGAGGTGTGGTGAGTGAGCGGGGGCGTGAGGAATGAGAATGACAAAGTTACAGAAACTGATGTGCCCTCCTCCCCACAGAGCCTGCTGATCAAGTACAACACGGAGGTCGACTTCGACATGATCGTAGACGCTGCCAAAGGACTCAACCTTCACCAGCAGCACGCGGACGTCCTCCAAAACGAAAAATATATCTTCTTCCTCAATCCCAATTCTGGGATTAATATTACTCGAACCTAAAGCCCCTCCTCCCAAGGAGACTGTGGGTGGGGGTGATGGAATCACTATATCAACCTGAATTATAATATATGATAATAGTATTAATATTGTTTGTGTACAAAATACTTAGGGAGTGGTTCTTGACAGTCCGGGTCGCCGGAATGCAAATCTGTCAACAGATGTATTTTGCATGTATTTTGATATGTCTTTCCCTCGCCGACTTCATGGGGTTAACCCCAACCCCCCTGAGACCATCCCCATACACCCACTAGTCACTGCAAAGTCTGGTGAGACTAGCCTCAAGCCTCTGGCCTCCAGCCCTGGAGAGAAAGATATCTTATATCGTAGATGTAAATATACCCCCGGCGGTCCAGCCTCGACCAGCACCCAGGGCAGTGGTCACAGGTATTGAAACGTCTACATCTGCAGCAGAAACAGCAGCGTCTTCAGCAGGACCTGGGGAGGAGGGCGGAGTAGCAGCGGGAGCTGTATCTTCAGGAGAAACAGCGGCAGCAACACCCACGACAAGACGGTGAAGGGTCCCACAACAAGACGGTGAAGGGTCCCACAACAAGACGGTGAAGGGTCCCACAACAAGACGGTGAAGGGTCCCACGACAAGACGGTGAAGGGTCCCACAACAAGACGGTGAAGGGTCCCACAACAAGACGGTGAAGGGTCCCACAACAAGACGGTGAAGGGTCCCACAACAAGACGGTGAAGGGTCCCACAACAAGACGGTGAAGGGTCCCACAACAAGACGGTGAAGGGTCCCACAACAAGACGGTGAAGGGTCCCACAACAAGACGGTGAAGGTTCCCACAACAAGACGGTGAAGGGTCCCACAACAAGACGGTGAAGGGTCCCACAACAAGACGGTGAAGGGTCCCACAACAAGACGGTGAAGGGTCCCACAACAAGACGGTGAAGGTTCCCACAACAAGACGGTGAAGGTTCCCACAACAAGACGGTGAAGGGTCCCACAACAAGACGGTGAAGGGTCCCACAACAAGACGGTGAAGGGTCCCACAACAAGACGGTGAAGGGTCCCACAACAAGACGGTGAAGGGTCCCACAACAAGACGGTGAAGGGTCCCACGACAAGACGGGGAAGGGTCCCACAACAAGACGGTGAAGGGTCCCACAACAAGTGGGAACTGCTGTAAAAAAAGCTAACCAAACCCTGTGAATAATTAAGCGTACCTCTAAAGAAAAGAAGATAGTTATTCAAATGTATAATTCTCTGGTGCGCCTCCACCCCTGCCTTTACTCTCTGTTCTGTTCCAAAGAAAATTGTAAGACAGCGTCCAGTTTCTTTTCTAAACTACACCTTGTATTTCCATTCTGTTATTAATGTTAATAAACTACTGTACTATTGCAACAACTACTGACTCCGTATTGTAATAGCCTATGTCTGCCATCCTTAATTATCACCTTTATGCATTCATTTATTATATTATAGGAACGATCTCATTATGTTAACTTCTTGAGTTTTAAGTGTTTTACGCCCTCACGGTTAGTTAAATTGGTTGTCTATTTTATGTTTTGCCAGAAACGCTTTGAGTAATAGTGGCTTCATTTATGTGTAATTCCTGTCCCTTCAATTGTACATTATTCTTATATTCTTTGTACACATTCTTTTGATTATTATTATTATTATTATTATTATTATTATTATTATTGTTATCCAGGCATGGAGACCTCATCATCAGAAAGACATAACTTCTTTGGAGAAAGTGCAACACCGGGCAAAACAAATTATTCCAGAACTAAGTCATTTCTCCTACCAGGACAGGTTGAGACCACCGGGCTAACAACACTGCAAACAGCCATAATAGCGCTGATCTCACTACTTCCTCAAAAGGTCAAATGTAACACAGACAAGGAGCAACGGTTTCAAGATCAACAAGCCACAATGTAGGACAGAAAACAGATGCTTTTTCACCCACAGGGTTATAAACCCATGGAACTGCCTACCCGCCCAAGCCGTAAATACTAAAACTATGCTACACTTTAAAATCCAGCTCGATAAAATCGTCGGGACAAATAGCGGGACCTTTGACAAACCGCCGGCTTCCTGTCCTCGTCTAGGCCACTCGTTAGTGGCCCTCGGGTAGATTCATAGTCCTGAGAAATAAAGATAAAACCAATCTTAAATATTCCTAGGCCAACTATACCAAATATGTGAACTATGTTAGGCCTCAGATAATGTGCATTAGGCCTAGGATGGTTAAGTTAGGTTTTATTAGCAGCATAATTATAGAACCTTTTTTTCGGTTTGTCCAAATTCAATAGTACCAAATTATATTTTCTAATTGTCCATTACGCCAATGTATGTACGATGATCCACATCGTTACTATAAGTATTATCTAAACGGCAGAATGAGCTGATTTGCCTAAATAATGTAAATTACATGTAGCCAACGCCTCGTAAATCTCGTAAATAAGTAGATCAATATTGCAAGCGAGCAACATTACATAGAACACCGGCGCCATTTTGTGAAACTCTCCGTTCTCTTCCTTCAGATATATAATTCATAGAAGATGACTTTGTTTTATGGGTAACTTAAATAATAGTAAAGGGCGCAAACTATAAATAAAATTCCTACATTAAATATTAAACGAAAATTATCGGTAGAGCCGTATTTATGGAAACGTTATAGAGCTGATGTATAAGTATACGAAATAATTTACTTTAGTCCTGGACTAAAGCATTCATGCTAGTTGGTCAGTAAGATATTAATAAGGCCACCACAAAGATAATATGGTGGCCTTTATAACCCGCCATGAGTCCAGAGAATAATTCACTTTGCAGGGAGGGAACACATGGGGCAACAGGAGCCAAGCCCACACAACAAAGCCAGGTAATAAACAACCACGTGAAGCCAATACCAAAATAATAGAACAAAACGGATTCCTGGTTCAACCTTGACGCCGAGCAGACGTGTGGACGCCGCCTCCGCCAGGGAGCCGTCGGATCATATTTTGTTTTGCGATTTGGAGTTGCTACTGCCGTTTGGCGTCCCTCTTCAACGGTCCGGTTATACGACGCCTGGTGCACATACCGCCTTGGGTCCCGGCATTGTTGGTAGATTTTTTTTTCACGTGTTCTGGCTGGTTCTCCCGGCGGGGTGACGGTGTTCGGGGGCCGGCTTGGCCGAGAGGTGCCGGGGGTTGGTGGGGTCCTGGTGTACTCTCAGACGTGGTGGGCGGCCGGCTTCTGCTCTGCCGGGAAGCACTGGATGACTTTTGCGTTTTAGCTGGAGGCCAAGATTTGGTTTTGCTACCAAGTGTTCTCTGTATTCACCTAGTTGTGTTTGCGGGGGTTGAACTTTGCTCTTTCGGCCCGCCTCTCAACTGTTTACTAACTACTTTTTTTTTTTTTACTTTTTTCCCCACACTACACACACACACACACCAGAAAGCAGCTCGTGACAACTGATTAATTCCCAGGTACCTATTTATTGCTAGGTAACAGGGGCATTCAGGGTGAAATAAACTTTGCCCATTTGTTTCTGCCTGGTGCGGCAAATCGAGCCCGCGCCACAATATTACGAGTACTGGGCGCTATCCACTTGGCTACCAGGCCCTGTTCTGTGTTGGGCGGGGCCGGTGCTTGTCACCCTGAGGGACTCCTGGGACTCCCCAATCATCTGCCTGTCTGCGATTCTTTGCCGCGAGGCATATTAGTTTCCAGTGATTGGCGTCACTCGTTTCGCGATGAGGCTTGGCGTTTCACCTTTCCGGTCTTCGTGATTAACCCTTCACGGGTACGCTGGGCGCATCCCATCCCACGATCGTCGCCGCCCCTAAATCAACAACAACATAGAACAAAACACAAGCAAATAGCCCCCAGAGGACGAAGTTCAATGATGGCTGACAGCATAAAGAAAATCAGCCCGCCCTCGTAAACAAAGACCAAAGTCCGCGCCATGCACCCGCCACACCCCCTGTTTATGAATGAAAAACGGTTTACACACGACTCATAACCCGTCCTCGACTCAAGTCCATTCCATCCAGCGGTCGACCTTACAGACGCATTCATAAATTGTTACATTCTGTTCACAAAACAGGAATTTTCTCAAATATATATTACTATTTTAATATATTACCATATTGTGCATATATAGGCATAGGTTAGGTTAGGTGTTTAGGTTCTGTTGGCGATTATTTGTATTTGTAGTACGTGGGTGAAGCATTTACAGGGTTGTGGTTCGAACATAATTCGTCAGTGAAGCGCTTGTTCCGGAAGTGTTCGAACGTCATCAGTTATGAGTCGTGTGTAAACCTTTTTTCATTTATAAACCAGCCCGTCCTCCAAAAAAAGATCCAAAAGTGATTCCATGCACCCGCCAAACCCCCTGTTTATGAATGAAAAGCGGTTTACACACGACTCACAACTGCTGACGTTCAAACATATCCGGAACAAGTGCTTCACTGACGAATTTTGTTCGAACCACAACGCTATAAATGCTTCACCCACGTACTACAAATACAAATAATCGCCAACAGAACCTAAACACCTGACCTAACCTAACCTATGCCTATTTATACACAATATGCTAATATATTATAATATTAATTTATACTTGAGAAAATTCCCATTTTGAATGAACAGCATGTTAAAATTTATGAATGCGTCTGTGGGGTTGACCGCTGGATGTAATGGACTTGAGTCGAGGACGGGTTGAGTTATGAGTCGTGTGTAAACCTTTTTTCATTTATAAACAGCGGGTTTGGCAGGTGCATGGAATCACTTTTGAGTCTTCGTTTGGAGGACGGGCTGCAAAGTGAGGATCAAGCTAACTCCGCGAACCTACATCAACAGCAACAAACAATAACCCTTCTCCGCGAGGTTAGCTACTGTTACACTGACCGTTTTCTTGACGTTGGGAACCTTAGGAGGACGGACTGGAATAGGAAGGTTGTTAAACGATTGGCGGTTCGTACTCCAGGGAAAATAGTGTGTAAGGCTCACCATGAGCTATGGGAAGGGAAAGCTCTCAGCCTGCTAACAGGAGTCATCTGTTCCTGTACCCGCCTGTGTACAAAAAATGTAACTATTCTTCGTAGTCACATTTTTTCACCAGATGCGGAGTGATGATATGAATGAGTGAGCAGTCTCTTCATAACTTAATTTAAAATATCATTATTTTGCAAATCTAGGCCAAGTATATGACTGATTTGCAAACCATTGCATGGCTTGCAATGATTGTTACTTTATTTTGATAATTTTAAAGATGTTTCATGTTAAGTTCTTTTAAGGAAGCTTGGTTGGAGAGTGATTTGTTTGCTTAGGCTTGAAATTGAAATTGAATTAAGTTTATTGAGGTAAAATACACACAAAGGGATGAGGTAGCTCAAGCTATTCTCACCCCGTTCAGTACATCGTGTTAATACATACATATACACACATCACATGCAATAAACATATTACCGAACATTCTGAGAGATAAATATATACATTCCTCATTTACTCAAGTTGTTGCTTAGGCTAGTATATGGAAATTTAGCTTGCAATATAGTGATTTATAAGAATTGCTAGTCATGGTTGATTAGTTAAGTAATTTCTTGAATTCTTCATTCTAGAAGTTAAATAAAGAAAGCAAATGAACCTAAAGGCTTTCGTTTTGTTCGTTAAATAGTAAATCATTCTTAATTTGCATGATCTGGTTTTAAAATATTGAATTGAGTTTATTTGAATATTATTTATTGATATGAATACTGCACAACCAGCAGACCCTGTAAATATGTTTTAGAAAAAAACATTTTCTGAACATCAAACACTACGCCCGATAACGTTGCCCGAAAACGCTATGCGTATTAGTGACTTTAGGTATTGTATGTACTAGCTCTATCTATAAATCCAACTTTATGTTTGTAAATCAGCTATGTATGTACTTTTCCTGAATAAAGAATTTGAATATGGCGTAGGAATGTAATGGTTAGGTTCCCGCCAGTCAAGATCAGCAGCTGATGCGACGCTGCCACATCTAGATTTCCCAAAACAATTAATCTCCTTAGTTATCGCTGTAAGTATTTAGAATGGTATAAGATCTTGAGAATAACTCTTTTTTTTTTTTTTAGGAATATTGTAAGAGGTTGATTGTGTACTCTACACTTAAGTTTCAAACTTTGTTATTAGTGTGATGAAAGTCATTAAAGTCGATCAAGTCGTGGTGTCTTGAGGAGCTGCCTTGCTGACGTTTAAATTTTCAGTCGGTGTTCGGACATGGTTAGGACCTGTTGGCTCGAGGAATTTAAATTTTTTTAATTTTGCCCCGAGGGGCGAGTTTATTGGGCAGCGCCACTCATCTTGTGAGTGAACATACCGCCATAGCAGAATGTACAACACTCCCCAATAGGAAGAAAACCCGCTGGCCTCGATATTGCCACATTAACAATTGCTGCCTTAATTTCTGGTCAATCCACACGTCTAGGGCCTACCACAGTTGGTAGGAGGGGCGGTGCACACTTAGTGCCTCTGTAGCTGATCTACTTGGCGCACTGAAGACTAGACCTTAGGCCTAGGCCTATGTCAAACAGGAGGATGGATACATCCTGCCTGCTCCTCCTCTAGCTTGAGGACAACTGGCTGGAGGAATGTTATTTCATGATAAGTAGTCCTTGATTCTTCTGTTAGGGTAGTCATAGTCATAGTTGGATATGTTGTGAAAAATTACTACTGTAAGGATAATTTGTTGGAATACTACTTGGTAATTACTTGTTTTAGGTTGAGAGTGATGCTGGATGCCCAGTTGAGTATTACATTTTGTGTGTGTCAATTAGTCAGTGTTATTAAGGCCTGTGGTGCCTATTGCCTAATGTTCTCTGTTGTAGAATAGTTACATTTGTAGGCACCTTAAGGCACCACAACAGTCTCCGTGGTGTAGTGGTAAGACACTCGCCTGGCGTTCCGCGAGCGCTATGTCATGGGTTCGTATCCTGGCCGGGGAGGATTTACTGGGCGCAATTCCTTAACTGTAGCCTCTGTTTAACGCAACAGTAAAATGTGTACTTGGATGAAAAAACGATTCTTCGCGGCAGGGGATCGTATTCCAGGGACCATAGGATTAAGGACCTGCCCGAAACGCTACGCGTACTAGTGGCTGTACAAGAATGTAACAACTCTTGTATATATCTCAAAAAAAAACTAATTGATTGATTGCCTTCTGCCTCTCCTCCCCAAGTACACCTGTTATAAACTTTGATCCAGTGTTGTAATTATCCCGAATCCTGGGAATTCAGGTTGTTTCGTATTCATTTTCCTCGGCATAGATTTAGGTGGGGAGGAAGGGAGGGAACTGTCGGGGGAAAGCGCCAAGCCATTACGACTATATAGCACTGGAAAAGGGTCAAGATAAGGATTTAGAATGGGACGGGAGGAAAGGAATGGTGCCCAACCACTTGGACGGTTGGGGATTGAACGCCGACCTGCATGGAAACCGTCGCTCTACCGTCCAGCCCAGGTGCTTGGGCAACAGGCCAGTGTTTTGGGTAATTAGAAATAACTGGCTAGCAACAGATTGTCTTGTAGCAGTGGGCAGGAGTGATGTTGGTCTAAAATGTGTGAGATCACCACTTTATGGACTTGGGTTACTTGAGCCTTCTCAAGAATATCTAAGAAAGCTCGGAGTTGAAGTGATTTGTTGTACAGAAATGCTATGGCAGAAGCTAAACACCATGAAGTCTTTTAATAAATTAGGGGTGCTACATAGCCTTCCCGGCTTGGTGTTTTCTTTTGATAATAAATTAGGGTTGGTATCTCGGAAAGGTTACTTGATTTAGTTTAGTGAGAGGATTATATCATAAACACCTCAGGAATTTGTTGGGGATAGGCACAAAGACTCTAGATAGCTTCCTGAAAGGCGTCTGGGATGCTGGGATCTTATTTGCAAGGGACGTTACAATGTAGGGCGCCTGACAGCTGGGTGGACAGCGCTTCGGATTCGTAGTCCTGAGGTTCCGGGTTCGATCACCGGCGGAGGCGGAGACAAATGGGCATAGTTTCTTTCACCCTGATGCTCCTGTTACCTAGCAGTAAATAGGTACCTGGGAGTTAGACAGCTGCTACGGGCTGCTTCCTAGGGATGTGTAACAAAAAGGAGGCCTGGTCGAGGACCGGGCCGCGGGGACGCTAAGCCCCGAAATCATCTCAAGATAACCTCAAGATGTATTTAGTAAAAGTGTCATTCCATCGTCATCAGTTAGGATTTTTTTTAATCGAGTTTTTACTTGACTAATACCTGGCAAAGAGTGTACCATGCTTCTTTTTTCATGCTAAGTTTTATTTGATTAAATTTATTTTTATAGTAGCTTTTTTTGGCTCTTATTATCTAAAAACCATTAAAGAGTACGTCTTAGACAAATCTCTGGAATTAATAATAATAATAATGAGAAAATCCATTATGCGAGGTGACGCTAAGCTTCGACCCGTGCATTGCCACCCACAATAATACTAATAATTCTAATAATAATAATTATTCTAATAATTATTATTCTAGTAATAATTATTTTAATAATAATAACAATTCTTATTTTTCAATCACTTTGTGTTTTGATGGATTTGTTGGCTTTTAGATGAACTTTGTTTTCGGAGAAAGGTTAGGCTGTCTTCCTATTCTACTTCGTTGTTTTCATCTTTGAGACTGACATTTTATATGGCAAGTTTTCGATTTTAATTACAAGTTCTTTGTTTAATGTCTTTATGATACGGACTTCACTTGTTTAATCTTTGATTATCTTGGGTTTGACACTCCAGAAACTTGACTAGTCTCAAGTTCAAGTATGTTTATTGAGACAAGAAAAAAATACATCTCAAAGGGATAGAGTAGCTTAGGCTATTTCTACCTCCTTAACACTAGTCACGGGGGGGGGGGGGGGGGGTAGAAATAGCCTAATTCAAATAGGCTATTTATAGCCTTATTTATTTATTATAGGCTAATTCTAATTAATAGTTCTTGATCCACTGGTCAGCCTTCCACACCTTGGGAGCACGTGTGGAAGGGTTGGTGAGCGAACAAGCTGACAGAGTTGCAGCTGAACGAGCTGACAGAGTTGGAGCTGAACGAGCTGACAGAGTTGCAGCTGAACGAGCTGACAGAGTTGCAGCTGAACGAGCTGACAGAGTTGGAGCTGAACAAGCTGACAGAGTTGCAGCTGAACGAGCTGACAGAGTTGCAGCTGAACGAGCTGACAGAGTTGCAGCTGAACGAGCTGACAGAGTTGCAGCTGAACGAGCTGACAGAGTTGGAGCTGAACAAGCTGACAGAGTTGCAGCTGAACGAGCTGACAGAGTTGGAGCTGAACGAGCTGACAGAGTTGGAGCTGAACGAGCTGACAGAGTTGGAGCTGAACGAGCTGACAGAGTTGCAGCTGTAGTATCATTTGATTTGTCGAGATTCAATAATACTTATGCAAGTAACATACTTTTAAAGCTTATAAATATTTCTGCCTGCCGAGATATCTGTAGTATTAGGACATCAATAGAAACCAAACCGCGATAGATTAATCTTGATAACATTTTTAAATACTAGACGAAAAAAAAGGCCACTAGCCTCAGATTTATTTTTCGTCTTGAAATTGTATATTTTCTTTATGTATGAATTTAAACTTTTATTATTGTATTAGTTTGTGATGATGAGAGACTTGGAGTATGTTGGGTGATGTTCTGTTAGTTTGTGATGTTGAGGGACTTGGAGTATGCTGGGTGATGTTCTGTTAGTTTGTGATGTTGAGGGACTTGGAGTATGCTGGGTGATGTTCTGTTAGTTTGTGATGTTGAGGGACTTGGAGTATGCTGGGTGATGTTCTGTTAGTTTGTGATGTTGAGGGACTTGGAGTATATTGGGTGATGTTCTGTTAGTTTGTGATGTTGAGGGACTTGGAGTATAGTCATTACCATGAACATCTATCCCATATTCCCAGTAATATTTGTACCCAAGCCTGAGCCGCATGTACACAGAGTCACTCCAAGCATTTCTCCTTTTACCATAAGTGAAATGGGTGTTTTGACTCACATACATGTAGTGTTGCATGGTTTGACTTCTCTCATACAGTATCGCTCTCCTCTCCACTCCCGCCTGTGCCTGAATATTTCTGATTTTGCTTCTTATTTGTCTCATTGTGAATTCACATTCAATGTCAACTTGTGGTTTTGATGTGGCACGTTTGGCCAAGTCATCCACCACCTCGTTGAGCACTATTCCAACATGAGATGGAATCCACATGAATTTCACACTATAACCTTTCAGCTGTATCTCAGTTATTCTTCTCTTACAGTCCTCCACTATAGACATGAAGACTGGGTTTCGACTGTTTAAGGACTCCAGTGCTCCTCGGCTATCGACAAATACAAAAACATTTTTGTCGTCATGACGTACTTCCTCCAAACACGCCAGAATGGCCTGCAGTTCAGCTTGTGTGGATGATATATAATTACTAAGCCGGAGTTCAATTATCCTGTCCACAGTCCCAAACTCCGTATAATCCCTTATTAGGACACCACACCCTGCCCTGCCATCTTCCGCCACCGACCCGTCGCAATATACATGTAAACTGTTGCCTCTTGGTAACCGAGATATCATGCTTCCATACAAACACCGTAATTGTCCCGGTTCATGATGAATCTTTTTCACCTTGAGGGGTACAATTTCGACGTCTATTTTCTGTACTTTCCAGGGAGCAGACATATTACACTGTCGAGAGGGTTTACAGCAGTCAAGTACGTCGTATTCCCTGAGGTCATGAGCTAATCCTCTCGTATAGCGTGTCTCCCTCAGTTTCCTGGAAGTGTGTACGTCACTCAAGCAGGTCTGAACGCTCTCAAACAGCTTATCCCCTCCTTTTCTCCGCATGAAACGAATAGATACTCTAGTGTTAATGTCACGGACTCTATCACACACACTCTGTAAATTTAATTCCATCCTCATTATTTCAATCATTGCATTTCTTTGACATCCAAGAATAATCCTCATAGCCTCGTTCTGTATCAGCTCTATTTTTTGAATTCTGCCTTGGCCTGTGTAAGACAATACGGGTGCTGCGTAGTCTATCAGGGAGCGAACAGTGCTTATGTATAACATCCGCAAGATAGGTACCCTAACACCTTTACCAGAAAAAGCCAGTGCTTTTAGAGGATGCAGACGGGCTTTACATAAGGTGCTGATATGATTTATTTCAGCATTTTTACTCTCACATGTGTATCCAACATACATGCCCAGATACTTGTACTTCTGTACACGGCTCAGTTCCACACCATTTAGAGTAAGTGTTATATTTCTTCGTTTCCTATACTCGTATTTGGTTTTATCTGCATTTATAACTAAGCCTAACTTGTGACAGGTTGTACCAAGTATGTTAAGAGCATCTTGAATTTTGTTCCCAGAAGTGCCTTGTATAAGAATGTCATCAGCATATATGATCGTCGTGACCCCTGGAGGATACATCTCTGATGCTAATCTGTTCATTAATACATTGAATAAGGTGGGACTTAATACTCCCCCTTGTGGGGTACCTAACTGAAACCTCCGTTCCTCAGACATGTATCCCTGGTAATACACCTGACCTTTTCTGCCTTGTAGAGAATCCCTTATCCAGTGTAGCAATCTCCCTGTTATTCCCAGATTGGCTAATTCGTATAAGATTACTTCCCCATTGGCTTTATCAAATGCTCCTTGTAGATCAACAAAAACTCTACAATTGTCATCCACATTAGACAAACACTTTAAGAGACAATCCGCAGTACTTTTGCCTTTGATAAAACCAAAGAGATTACTGGACATGTTATCACCTACAAGGTAGAGTAGCCTATTTAACAAAATCCTTTCCATCATTTTACAAAAGCAGGATATTAAGGAGACAGGTCTGTAGCCTCCATTTGACTTAGGGATAGGAATGATGACAGCCTCTTTCCATTTTCTTGGTAACTTTCCCTCTCTATAACTCATATTAAACAAATCAAGTAAGGGATTAGGTTTCATACCGGCTAAATAATTAAGTATGTCATATGTTACTCCATCTTTCCCCGGAGCAGTAGAGCTGCCACTTTTTATAGCATCCAGTAGCTCATCGTGGGTTATCTCAGTGCATGTTATAGATCTTGTATTTAAGGCACATAAAGTTACTCCATTTCTAATATTTTCCCATGACTCAATGGTGACTCTCGTGTCTGCAGGTAAGGACTCCATACCAGCAGCACTTGCCCATTTATCTACTAACTCATTAGCAACCTTCCCTGGATCTGAGTGAGCAATGAATTTGGTCTTACAACCCCTGACTTTGTTTACTGCTCTCCATATGTCTTTAAGGTTCTTAGTATTACCAATGGACTGAGCAAATTCTTGCCAGTATCTGTCCCGCGCCTCCTTCCTCACCTGACTGCATTCCCTAGCACAGGTGGAAGGCACGGTTTCCCTACAGAGTACCGGGACTCGCCAATAGAAGGTCGCAAAATTGTCTCCTTTGGCCTAAAGTCGGCGGTACGAGGGTATACACAGTTGGTGTTTACGGCCTAGTAACCTGGTGACATCAAGAAACGCCTGAGATGACGTGAGCAATGATGGAAGACGAGATTCACCTGTTCTGCAAACAAGCAACCCGCCTCTACGACCCTCTAACATCACTCCTGCTAAGAGACACCGTTGGTACATCCAGTCCTGCTCTGCTGTGGTCATCTGCGCCGTCAAGGTTAACATCAAGACTGCCGTGTGAACTGTGATATGAAGGCGTGTGGACTGTCGAGAGCAAGATTAATGGCCGAAGTAACAGTATTCTACAGCTGTCACTTGGCACTCCGCTCTACTACACTCTGTCGTCATTCAGGAGTACCGGATGGGAGTACAAGAGGACCAGGTATTGATGTCTACACATGGGGAGAAGCAAGATCGACACCGTCATCGTCAGCGACTACATTCAGCATCCAGCAGCATCGTTTTTTTTTTTTCGATTACTCAATATGAACAATTGATACAAACAACAAAGTTGGCTCTGAACATCTGTGTAAAGAACATCTAGACACTTTTGTTTAAATGTTGAAAAACAGAGTTAGAATCACAATACTTTTTAAATGTTGAAAAACAGATTTAAAATAATAATTCTGGTATAATATATGAAAATTTTACTCTATAAATTGGTCAGTACTCAAAATCGAAGCCCCTGTGTAATTGTCTCAGCCCAGAACAAACGGTTATGGAAAATTATGTTGTGCTATTTTTTTTCAGAATGTTTGAACACAGGAGAGGCGGACCAATATAAACATTGACACTTCTAGTGAGTGAGAACACTTGGCTGTACAGTCAGCTGAAACCTGTGATATAGTATAGGAATTTTTTTTATATTTTTAGATAGATGTAATAAACATTAGGTGTGTTCCTTAACATGTCAAGGTTGACATTGATGGGGAGTGGTTAGTACACGGATGTGTACCTGATAGTTCCGTAGTACGCTCCCGGATGACTGAAAGTTCAGTCTGAAGATATAACTTTAATGTTTATGTTTGAGCACCGTGTGGCCGGCTCTAGAGGACACATGGACTTGGCTAGTGAAGAGCCAAGAGAGTTTAATAGCTAGACTTTGATGATAGAGTAGGGACATGTTATTTAGCTATGTCAGTAAGGATAGGATGTATGCTTCCTGATGTTAGAGGATTGCTGTCAGTTGACAGCTGAGAAATTTATGAAATGTGAACATATTTATTATGATGTTGGACTCTATTATTTGTCAAATTTTATTAGTTAGGTTAGCTTTTGTTTGTGGCATGAGTTGAATTGTGGGTTTGGATACTAAACCTCGTGATTTTTAACAAATTAACAAGGTTTACTAAGTGCTTGTGCGGGGGGAGGGGGGGGGTTGTAACATACTAGGCTGTTGTAAGAATTATTCCAGAAGGTTCCAGAATCTTCGTGTAAGGACCTGACCTCAACAACGCACGTTCCCCTGGGGATTAGCAGGTCTGAGTCACAAATGGCGGGCATCTTTGTTCATAGTTTTGTATAATGAACCATCCTATAGTATTCAGTAATTTAGAGAAATTAGCCTTTATTCATTTTGTATTAAAATTGTATTGTATAATAGTACTGGGTACAATATCAAGAGTATTCTAATTATTGAGTAAGTCACCATCAGTGACGTCACGAATCAGATCCAAGTTGTAAGGCGGAGTGACCGGCGGTCATAGGTCATCAGGGTTGACATGTCTACTATTTCTCAAAGTTCAATTAACCATTTTGGGGATCGGGAACAGCTCTGCCGTTAGATGCCTGTGTAATTTAATTTCAGTAAAATAATTCAACCAGTCTGGATCAATTAAGTACAACAGAGGTTAATTGTTATAACTTAAACCTGGCTAAGTAACTTGGTAAAACTTAGACTATGCGGAACAA